GATTGCGACCTAAAGTTTCACCCACAAGTGACGTGAAGGTTCCTCGACGAAGGCTTTTATAATTTTCCTTTTTTTTAGGTCATTGCTCATAACTGTCATCTGCGCAACATGGGAAAAACGTACTGTTAACAATTTATAGGGCAGATGGCAGGAGTGGAAGCAAAAGAAATGAGTGGGCGACTGAGTTTCCTCCCACAGCTTCCGTTGCCTGTGGCCTTTCCACCAGCACGAAGGTTTTCCCCCGGTGCCGCTTGCTCGTCTCGTTGCCCCTGGACTCACTCATCCATTTTTTTTCGCCGTTTTGGGATTTGGCCTCTCTCGGGAGCAGACTTTTCGTGATTCCGTGACTCTGGGGAATATGCTGCATGGACAATTCTCAAAAAAACCCAGATGAGTAAGTATATTCACTCCGTTGTCTGCCTGCCTTCTCCATAGGCTAGGCCTTGGGTCAGCTCAGACTTGAGCCCCTAAGCGTTACGTCAAGTCAAGCTTAAGGTGAATCTGTCAAAATTAGACTCGTCAGATGTAGACTAAGTCTTTGCGCATAACGGCCCTATGACGGGATAGGGTAACTTAACATATGATCTAGTAATTTGTAATTATGGCCTACAGAGATACCTGTAGGTAAGGAAGCTTTTGCCTTTTTTGTCTTTTTTCGATTGTCCTTGTGCTTTTGCTTGGAAACAATTCGAAGCCTTAAAGGTAAAACTGTTAACCTTATTAATTCAATCCAGTAGCCATAGTCTCCTGTGCCTAATGCATGATAGGCCAGTCAGTACTATGGTAGTCCTTAGCTCATCAAATGTCAGGTCATGGCTGAAGGAGTTAGGCTCAACTTGGCATAATAAGAAGCACAGTAAACCTTTTGGCCTAGGTCTCTAAGTAGTATTGTTCTTTTGGCCCAATAACCCTTGGCTTATAAGCCCTGACACAAGTTCTCAAAACTCAATGCCTTCATTGATTGGCTTATAAGGTGGGCTAGCTCTGGGCATAAACTGTTAAAGCAAAGCCAATAGTCATGAAGCCACCACTTTGGTTTGTTGTGTGGTGGAGGCTTAAGACATTGGTCTCATTTTGGATTTGCCTCAGTTTTGTTTACTCAATTTGCTTATGTGCTGATTTATTCTTGAATATCACCAATTCTACTTAGCATAGGCATCAGGCAGAGTACAGGCCTGTGCTTTACACAGTAGTCAGTCTTTAGGGATTCATAGTTTTCTCCCCATTTAGAAACATCAGACCTCTGCAAGATTAAGGGCTGTAAATTCAGCATCCAGAGTTGGACTCATTAGAAAGGACTGCATGTGAGGAAACACTCCATTATATTTACATTCCTGAGGAGTGTCACTATGAGGGCTGATGGCATTACCCATGCTTCTCTACCTGTGAATTGGAAACTTAGCATTATTTCCTTCAATGGAGCTGGTTCTGCTGGCATACTCATTCTGGGTTTTTTAATATTGCCTCACTAACATTCTAATAATGTCTGCTACATTGTTTTGAAATGGCAGACATGGCTTGTGTTTCTTGAGAAAGTAAAAATGGTGGACCCATTCTCTCTTAGTTAATATTTCAGGGTGAGGATTTATAGCATTATGATAACCATAGAAGATATTACAAAGCAGTGTTATTAGAATTTGTGCATTCCTGCTCAGGTATTTAAGCCCTTTTTTTATATAATTGTTTTTATTTTATCACTCCCCATGATGGGGAAAGTGCAGCTAAGCATTAGGAATGTCAGCATCAGTTTGATGAACTGCAGCCTCAGAACTGAAGGAGTGCATTTAACAAGGGAGTCATCAAGGTGACTAATGTAAAATGTAACCCCTTGGAAGTATGTTATTGTGGATGGACAATTTGAACTGAACATAAGCCTACTTAATATTTTGTCTTCAGGAGCCAAAAAGAAAGTTCTTAGTTGTGCACAAGGACTCAGTATTGCAGCAACCATTGCATTTCATGTTTTTCATGGAGGACTACATGCTTTAGGTCACCTGAGTTACTTTCAGGTGTGGATGCTTGCTAACTTGTAGTGACCTTTGAAGAATGTAATAGCTGTTTCCTTATCAATTTAACCTTATTAGCCTATTCTGAGGAAGTGGTAAGTGTTAAAATAACAGACAAAGCGACAGTAATTCCAAATAAATGGATTATCCTATGGAGGATTAAGGATATTTCTAACTAGTTCAGCCTTACTCAATTGCCTCCAGTGACATGACAATTGTGTGAAAAACAAGCCTCTCTAAAAAGTCTGAATTGATCCTTGCTGTAGTTGTAAGTGTGAAGGAGCAGGTTTTAATTTCTAGCTTTAGTACCATTGGTTGGTGCCTAGCTTGGGCTGGAGTCGAGGGTTATCTCTGTCTGAATCGTCTGCTTTAGAGTGATTTGAGGTATTTGGTTTCCTTCTCCTGCAAGTTAGGCCAAATAGGAAGGCCATGATGGCATATGATTCCTCTTGCCAAGTGGATGATGAAGCTCTCCATATGATGACTCTCCTAAAATGGGAGGCTGTGTTGACTCTGCTATGCTAGGGGGAATTGGAAATGCTATTCCATGTTTTTCTAGCCATCACCTAATAGCATCAGCATAGTCATGGGGAGATACTGAGAGGTGGAATGCAGGTCTGCAGGAGGCACCTTTCTTTTCCCTTCTCCCATATGTCAGTCCGCTCGCCCTTTCCCCCCATTCACTTTCATGAATCAGCGTCTGTACGAACGCGAGCTTTCATTCTGGCCCATCCCTCAGTATCAGGCATTTCTACCCTCCCATGCTGGGAGAAACCTCTCCTTCCGGCCTCGAGGCGTTTTGGCATGCATGATGATTTCATAACGTTGTCCGAAGAAGTCTTGAGAAGAAGTAGCGGGTAACCATTCCGACTTGAGACTTTTGCGCGGATCGAAAGTGAAGTCACGTGAAAGAAATAGAGTAGTACGAGACGGGAAGCGGGTCGGCCAATCGCTTGGGACAGCCCATTATTCACGGAACGAGATTTCCAGCAGAGAGAGACGATACACGATACAGGTCTGGATCGACTTTCATCGGTGAGCATGGCGTAGCAATCCTGTCAGTCACTATAGTACGTGCTCGAGCACGGCGTTCGGTGTTGTCGATCAGCCGACATCGATTACCGAGACTGAATCATGGCTAAATTCCAGCGCCATTTCTCGTGAGTCTTTTTGTTCGACAGCACGTTGTGATCAATGAATGTGTGTCATCCGATGGCAGCGAAGGATATCCACAGAAGATAGGGGATTGTCCTCTAGGTCACTGCACGAAATAATAGACATTCGTGTCCTGCTTGTACATCGAAAAGGATTGTGTTTAGTTTCGTATGGGTGAGGAACAACATAATGAAAGAATTATGAAGCTTCGATCCTGCCGTAACTGGGGGTCTCTTATCTTGACTACGGATGTCATATAACAAACGTAAACCAAGGGCCAGGGAGTTCCATTGACGAAAACGTGAAGACCGTGTGATGAGAGTGAGGAACAGAGCAAGGGGGATAAAAGGGGTGGGATGGCGAAGAAGTTGATGGCTTAATGCCGAAAATAGAATCCAAGATGTTAAATGTCCATCGTAGATTCATTGTATTTCTCCGCAGTCGATTGGGACAAAAGTTCGATCTAAAAACTAGTGTGCTGCTTTCAACAGGTTTCAAATAATTTACTTTTTTTCTCCCCCAAAAGGGATGTTTTCCTCTGCTTCCGTTCTCTTGTTCCCGTTGAACAAAGGAGGTTGCCGTAGGATGAGTGAAAATGAGGCCTGCCCTAGCCTGCATTTTTAATGATTTCCTGCACTCTTTTTTAATGTTTTCTGTTTGGTGTCTTTTATTTTTTATTGGTTCCTGTCCGTGAGATCATTATGAAGTTATCCTGTGTCAAAAGCACAGAATATGAGTTGTTTCCCTGCTTCTTAAATGGTTTCATTCTGGCTTGGTCGGTTCGATCAGTTTTGTGAAATAGGTGGAAATACCCAACACCTCTTGGGGAGGCATACACTATATTGGAGTGTTTTATTTGAACTGGACTTCACAACCCATTCCTAAAGGAACCCATCATGAAATCGATCCCTTGTAGGACCGTCCTTGAAGTGGAAATGCCTAGCAACTTCTTGAGAAGTTTATCATATTATTCATGAGCTCGTTCATATGCAAGGCTTCTTGGAATGATCTTTTGACCAAGTGTGCAGACTCTAACCTTGACTTGTCAAGGTATGAGATAATTCCACTCCCCGCGTGGAAAAACTGCACAAGGAAAGTCAGGTCCAAAGCTCTCTTTCGTGCTTGTTTGCTGATGAGATCCTTCGTCCGTCGTTAGAAATTTGACTCTTGCCATTAAATCCAAATTGACCGCTGATCGATCGATCGAGAGGAATTGTGTAGTTGAGAATCCCGGCTCCTTTCGAGTGCAAAGAGTAGGAGGATATGAACATTCCTTGTGATTCCAACTTTCCCCATATATATATTTTAAGACTCGATGTAGTTGGAGAGAACCGTACTGAGGCCCTCGTCGAAAGTTTTCTTCGAGGAGGTGGAAATGGAGGAAAAAACTGTAACCTTGACTTGCGCAAGAGAAGTAATCTTAGCTCTGCGGGATAACCAGTACTGAGTTTTCCTCATGCACGTTCATCACGCCTCAAATGCTTCTTGGAGTTCTGCCTTTCCGTTCATCAGATATGTTGGTATGAAAGGAGGAGGGAACGACAGGCCGACCTTTTGGTGTAGCGTGCACGTCCGTGGGGTGAACGTGCCCGTTCCTCTCCATTGCAGGAGATGCTGGAGCGAGCGAGCGTGAGAGAAGCAGACGGGAAGAATTAAATCTTTAATGCTTGAGGTCTAGGTCGTCAGGGAATCATTGTGGTCACTCACTCGAATGCCAGTGCCGTCTTGAGACTTATAGTGAAGGGTTTTATTGTTATTCGGTATCTCATCCTGCTCACATGCAGGCCACTCGGCAACGTTCCAGGTCAGGCTTCCTACAGCCGACCCGATTATTCATCGATGCGGCTGAGATCTTTTGTCATATATCGTGTTTTCCGTGTGAACTATCAAGTGTGAGAAGGAGAGACGCCCACTGACGTTGGTGTGATGTGTTGACTGTAGGAGCGGAGGAGAGACCGCCCGTCCGGTGAGTAAGGTGAGAGTGACTTTCTACGAGTTTCAGCGACCCCTGCCTGTGAACAACCACCAGGGCCAGGGCGAGGGGATGCCAGGAGAGGAAATGACCCCGACTCAGACCCAGAACACCTCTGCCATCCATGACACCACTCCTCTTTCACACCCCCAATCATATTCTCTGACACGACAACTCAGGTCAGTTTCTGTCTCGCTACCTCCTCTGACCTCTTTCTCACTCTGGCTCCTCCTCCTTCTCTGACCTCTCTCGCGCTTTGGCTCCTCCTCCTTCTCTGACCCCTCTCCCTCTTTTTTTTTTTTCTCTCGCTCGCTTTCCCCACTCCGATTCATTCACGTATCAGGGAGGAGACTGTCGATCGATACAGTTGTATTCATTGTGTCCAGCCAGACCTGAAGACATTTGGTCCGCTGCTTTTTGCGTCAAATTTTATTTCATTGGAAAAGTTCTATCCCTGACTCGTAATGATCTTGAACAGACACGTTTTACTGGGAAGCCTTGTTTGTACCCCTACACGGAGGAATGATGTTCCCATCTGGAACGTGGATTCCTGAGCTAGGGGTGGTAGACTTGATTGAAGCAGAGTAACAGAAGTCTTCGTATTTATTTTCGTTGCGGTTTCTTCCCTTCGGGAAGGCATCTCGCTCTTTAAACCATATGTCGTTCAAAGCCTCCTCCTGTCAGCCCTTCGTGCACTTTTTCGCATGATAGTACACGGCATTGTCCTTCGTGGGAAATTCACAAGGACACAGAAAACATCGTTACGAGATAGGGAGGACTCTTTTCGAGATGCTGAGATATGAAGGAGGGATCGTGTTTCTCACAGTCCCAGTGCAGAACATGAATACGCGAACCGTGAGCCGCCATAAATGTCCCTGAAGTATGGTTCTATTTTCATCTTCCAATGACTTCATTCTCAGGATTAGGTAGAAGAGAGGAGCAGCTGGCGTAGTAAGCACATGAGGTCGCAGATTCGACTCCAGTTTCCCACGATTATACCCTCTCCTGGAACTAGATGTTACCTTTAAAAAAAAATAAGAAGAAAGAACGGAGAGGGAGAAGGAAGCCCAATTTAATGGAACTTGACCCTTTCCCCTTGACAACGAGGAAGTCAAATGAAACAGTGCTTCAAATAGAATCGGTAGCTCTTCTACTACCCATGCATGTAGATGCATTTTTCCACGATCGTTGTGAGAAAGGATGGTCCCAATTCTAAAGCGCTCATCATTCGTAAGATTGTGAATTAGGCGGAGACACAGAGGAAGCGGTGCGTGTAGGCAGACCTAATGGTAATGGTGCAGCTACGATCCAGTCGCTGACTTTGAGTCATCGTCGTCTTCTTTGTCGCTGTCGTTCTTTCAAATGCATATTTCTGGGGATGATGTTTGAGCAAAAGATAACGGTATCGAGCTGTATAGTGGGCCTTGAATGCTTTATTTGGATGCAAGAGAGGAGGATGGGGTCTCCCTATTGTCTCCAGAGGGTTCAAGGTGATGTCGCGGCGGCCGAGCCCAGACCTTCAGGATTATTTGTCTGCGGTCGCTCCGTTTCCCCTCTGGCACTCACAATGAAAGAGGCTTCCTCTCCAATTATGACTCATCTTCTAAATGCAGTTATTCGCGCGTCGAGTCAGTATACGCACTACTGATTTGGACCGTGATGAATGAAATGGCTTTTGCCATCCTCTCAGCGCTGCTCCCTTCCTTCCTTCCTCCCGAGGCATTTTCATCGCCTAATCGTCTTAGTAGTATATGGACTCTATGGATAGTAGCTTGGGGTTTTACGAAATATCCCTATGAGCTGAAAAAGAGGAATCCTTGTGTCAGCTCAAATTGATATCGACGGTTTCGATTTGAGCATGTAGAATTTCTTGGTAAGAAGAGCTCCTGAGCTCAAGAGCTCATGAGCTCTGAGCATGAATTCGCTTTATATAAAATATCGTTGAATTCATACCACGCAATGCCGCTCTGTGAAGAAAGCCTGCGCTGGAGCATACTTGTATGCTTAGCCCGTACTGCTGTGTAGATAAGTGCCTATGACCCCAATGTACGTCCCATTCTGGATATTTACAAATCCACCCCTGGTGTGTGATTTTCTGTTTGCCTAAGGAAACACTGGCAACTGTAGGAAGATGCCTTTTGAGAAAGAAAAAAAGACGTGGCTAATTCCAAGCCCTGTGGATTTTTTTTGGCTAGTGCCAGTGCTAAACATGAAAAGGTACCGACATCAATGACGGCAGTTATTGCGTATGATTGCTTAACCGTCAAAGTTCTTAATTTATGAAAAGTTGTATTGCAAAAAGCATTGTGTCGGTCTGTTTTGTTTTTAATTATCACTCTAAATCAGCTTACTAGGTACTGGCTGCACTTGAAAGTAAAAATCAGTTTGTCGCGCTCGCCTAGTCTTTTAATATCCTATTTGCAACCTTGGTATATGAAGTAAAAATCGCGCGGGAGGAAACAAGTCGTAATAATGATTTTTTTGGTCGGATCAAAGAGAGTAGTTCCAAGAAAACACCGATTAGGACTACGATTCCCTGTTGCCAGCGTCTCCTCTCAGCTAACTGAAGAGTTCACGCTACTTTGCCTGCCTCAACCTCATTAGCGATGAATCCAGTTGAATGAAGACTATGGGAAATAGAAGCCCTGGCCTGCATGCGCTTGCTTCGTCATTCTTTCTTTCCTCTCAGAGGTCAAACTCCTTTTACACATTCATCATGAATAAGGGAAGGTCGTAGCGAGAGGGCAGGATGGGGGAAGGTCAGTAGAATAACAATCCCTCCCTTTGGTGCGGGCTTGGGGAAAACGTGCAGCTGGGATTTTGCATTCACCAGACAAAAATGCGCTTCCGTGAACCAGGCGGGGAGCGTCCCACGGATCATTCTAAAATTAGGCCTTTCCAAGGCACGACGACCTAATTCTCGTGCAGTGTATGGAGAACGAGGGAGAGAGAGGGGAGAGAAGGGAGAAAAGGGAGAAGGGCGAAAGGGACCCGCTACTGCCATCTGTTGTGTGTGCACTGCGTGCTAACATCTCACAGTCGATGGTGTGCCCCGGTTGGCCTTGTACCAAGGTCGAACCATCTCTCCAAACATTGCTCAGATGAACGTTCATAGATGCTCGTGCAACCTCCCCCTCCCGGTCTCACTTTCCTAGCTTCCATTGAATGATGGAAAGAAAAGAATGGAGATGCCTGTCATCCCCTTGCCCTGTTGCGCTTCGCTGCTCTTGCTCGTCTTCCTCCGGCTCCACAACACCCCCTGATTACTATTTCCCCCATCCTGTTCTCTGCATGCGCATCTTGGAATGCATGGGCCAGTGATAAAGACCATTCATCCTGGCTCTCAAGACTGGTTTCCCTGAATGACACCAGTTGTAACTCATGGGAAATCAGATGTTCATCATTGCTACGGAAACATACATGCTTACACATGTATGTACGGCTCGACACTCACTGGTGAAGCATATAGCATGCATGTATGACGCACGCTACATTGGATGAAAGACATGGCAAACAGTGGGGTGCTGCACTCTGGTGAAGCATGGTTCAACTCATTGTGTGCCATCCGATGAAGCGTGCATGATGTACGCTCTGCGAGAATGTTTCACCAGTTTGCTGTCGGGCTGCATATGCCTCAATCAAGCGTACATTTTCACCGTTTTTAGAAAGTCAACAATATAGGTCACCAGAATTAACCAGTTACGTCACATCTGCTACTTACGGGAGAGAAATTTCCATTCCCCTCCACCGACACATCTGGTATCATTCATCATATGCCTGCAGATGATGTGTTATAAGAAGCAGGGGTCCAATCAAAGGATGCCCCCTACAGCTGACGTTGCATCGGATAAACTCAAGTTTCGAAGTGTTCTTTGCGTTATTTCTCGTAACTGAAGGAATTCTGGCAACAGGAATTGCTTGGATTCGGTCGAAGCTTATATTGGTTAGAGACAATAACAAATAGGCTTGCGGAGAATGTGGTACCGAATGAAATGCGCTTTGTTTATGAAACAACACCCGAGGGCGGTGGTGTTCCTGCAATAATTACGAATTGCCAAGTAGTTCTTTCTGTTAAGGTGAAGCTTAATCTGTTGTTTGATTTCTAGATCCTGTTTAGTCTTTTACTAATGAAGTCTGTGTAAGGCATTGGAATTGCAGTTTAATCTTGACTGTCTATTGCTTCTTAAAGATAGAAGAGGAGGGAGGAGAGAATGCTGTGAGACTTAGAGTCATCGCATTGACACCCTCCCAACAAGGCTTAAAGCTCTTAATAAGGTCAATGTGACCCCAGGCATAACTTGGCTCATGCCATTCTGTATTATTTAAATGTTTATAAATTTATGCAAAGCCGTTTTTGGCAGATGTCATGTAATGATGTGTTGAATCAGCAGCAATTAAAATCAAATTTTTTGTGGCAATAAAATGCATTGATGATGTTAAGTTAAATGCTAAGCAGCCTACAGTGCTTTTACTAAAGTCTGACATTTTCACACTTGACTCGAACTCTCGTGCATGAGGAATGTCCCATGCATGAGTATCTGATTCAAATGGAAAATTGTCCTACTCCAGGGGAAAAATCACCATAGTTGAGTTTTGATTTCATTGATGATTTGATCAGACTATGCTAGACAAGACTGGACTATACTAGACTGTTTTAGTTTGGTGACACCCTAAGGGATACTTATCAATTGCAGAACTTGCAAATCTTTATGAAGTAAATAAGGGTTGATTGATCTGAGACTTGTCTTTTTATTGATGTATTTGGAGGTTCTGAAAGAGAAGTATTTATGCTGTCACACCAGATATATAATGTGCAAGGTGATTCATAAGTCCCTTTACAACTTTGGAAGTGAGAGATGGCCCATCATCCTGAAGTTCCAACATCAGCAAGGCTGATGTTGGATCATGAAAATGCTGTTCAGTGGCTACAAGGTGCTGCCAGTGCTGCTATGTGGACTGTGCACAGTTTGAGCACTTTCACTTGTGCAAGGAGGGTATCAGTCAAGCAGCTCCTGTGTCACCTAGTATTTGAACTCTAGTGCTTTTAATGTTAAGATCAGTACAGGGATAAGTATTAATTTGGCATGGGATTATAAATGGAAGTAGTGGAAGTGTTTATATTTGTTTCTTGGGTTCTGTTGCTAACAGTCCTGGAGTAATTTTGCAAGTCAGATTATATATATCAATCCAAACATTATTTGAATATATCCCCTCTTGGTTAGGTTAGGAGGGAGCAAAAATTCAATCAAACTTGCTGGTCAGAGAATGCAAATTTGGAGCAAGGGTGTTCTTACTAAAAAAAGCCAGTCAGGAAAAAAAACTGTTCTTTGGGGAATTTCCTGCAATGAGGCTTGTTGTCATTAAGAAAACGTAGCCACTTAAGATGTATGTTTTCTCAGTAATCTCAGTATTCATGTTCAAGAACATGAATATTGAGATTAGTGTGGCCTTTGAAATAAAAAAAAAATCTGTTGCTGATTTGACAAATGTGGAAGAATGCTATTTTGCCAATTAAAAAAAAAATAGTTTTGCCCTTGAGTGTTGAGAATGATAAAAGAGAGTTCAAATATGCTCTTTTTGCAAATGGTACAGTCAACCAAAGGTCATATGGGAATGAAAGTGTAAAAAGTTTAATTCCACTTACCCTTTGTCAGCTCATCAAAAATATTATTACATTTGGTTCTGTTAGTTCCTTTTGTTCTACATCCTCCTGTTGAGGATAATAATTTTTAGAAGGTAAAGTGCTTCATTAGAGAAATTTTGCAGTATAGTACTGATGTTGATCAACTGATTAATTTTCTTTTTTTTTCAGCTCGGACAGTGGAAAGGACAACCCATTCCGCCCAGATGGGGAATTGAGTCGTGAGGCTGATGAAATAGTGGAACTTATCAAGGAAGGTAAACCACTAACTCCAACAAAGAAAGAGGAGTCTATTTGTGATGTTCCTGATGCAGGAAAAAAAGTAGTGGATGAGAAGATAGAGGGTGCACAAGTTTCCAAGGTTGCTGCTGCTGCTCCTTCTCCCACCCGAAGTCCAGGGGCCAATGGAAGTGCTGCCCAAGGTCCTGTGGAAGTTCAACACACTGTGGTCACTGGTCCCAATGAAGCATCCCAGGTTGAGAGAGTTGTCCTGAAGAAGAAGTCAAAGAAAGGCTGCTGTGTTCTCTTGTGAACCCTCTTGGCCAGAATTTTCTCTTGGAAGATACGCTTAAAAAGCAAAGGATACGGGGACAGAAAGATTCTATGTCACATCAGCAGCCTGTTCACTGGCCTGACTTGGATAGAATCTTAAATCTGACTTGTCAACTCACTCTCCCCTCATGTATGTGCATGGGCATGTCATGCATATTGATGTTCTGTATCTTGTGTGACCCACAGTAATTGGGAGAAAATACTGGGGCCATGCTCAATGAGTGCATAAATGCTGCTTCTAGGTTTTTTCTGGTGAAAAGTTTACTCGAGGCTATGATGGAATTCAGGATTTTGTTTTCCCCTATGTGCATAAGTTTCCTAACACTCAAAGAATAGGACCTAGTGCCTGAAATCCAGTATGAAGGGCCCACAAACCACTCTCTGCACAGAGAGTTGTTGAGTGAAAAATGTGTTAAACCTTTGAACCTACCCATCTTTCATAATGGTTCATATATGAAAAAAGGATCATACAGTAGACCACTGCTTCAAGATTTGAAGTATTGATGATTTCCAGTTGTGCAGACTCTACTGAAATGGAGTAGATAATTGGAAGGCAATGTAGACCTTCATTTTAAATTTAGTTTTGTTTGGATTACTGCTATAATGTGGTTTTTTAAATTTAGAATATCAGACTAATGCTTGCTTTTCCCTGATTACAGAATCTATGTAGTACCTTTGCATATGATCTTGCTGTAGTTTGATATTGTGATTTGCAAAGCATCAGTTCTCTCATATTTGAGTAACAGGTTTGATGAAGGCAGCTGGGTGTGTCACTGTCTTGATGACTGATCCATGGATAGTTTCATGTAAGCTTTCTGCCAGAATTATCTCCCTTGAGCCATCCATGCTGCTAAGGTGCCTCTTCCATAGGTGTCCTGCCTGTACTTTTCAGTATTTGAAAATTCATTCTTTTTTTTGGAACTGGCAATTGCCTGAATCTCTAGTTCTCATCCCATGTATGAGTTTGGATGAGTGTAGTCAGTCAAAGTGATACGGTTTTCCTGTGATGAGGAAGTATCAGAAATTGGATGGATAAATTTTTTTTGTTTGTTTTCATTTTGGTATGAAAGTCCTAGAGGTGATCAAGTGCAAAATTGTGTGTTGCATGCATAGAATGAAGAGTGTCAGATGTGTTCAAATGAGAGGATATTGCACAATCAAGTATACATTTCTGTATGATTTCTGGCAATTGCTTTTTCATAATGCTATGATGGAAAAATGCATGAAATTGTAGTCAAAGGGGCAAATTCCTCATACAAAGTTTTTGAATGACAGGGCTTCATGCTTTACCCTTTCTCAGCCTTTCTTATATTAAAAAACATTGCAGTCCCGTGTGGATGCAGACTGTCATGTCCTCTTAGTGTCTGTAATTTTGGCTCCTCTTGTAATCTTGCATCCTTTTTCTGGGAATGTTTGGCTTGGCTGCTGGAATTCTCTGGAAGTCTGGAATTGTTTTATAAACATATGGTTATAAATGCCCTCCTGCTTGTCTTCATGTTGTCAACCTGGAAAATTTGTGCAGTTAATTCCTCTTTTTGCTGCAAGTGCTTGATTTTATGTAATTGATCAGGACTAAGTTGGGTTTCTTGAATTTATGATGGACATAGCATATTGTGGATTCATTGCTATGTGACTTATCATTTCTGCCTGACTTCCTTTGCAAAGGATATTGCTGCACTACTTTCTGCACACTTGTTCCAGGTTGCAAATGTAATACTGAAGAGAACAGAATGATTGCTCTCTCATTTATTGTATTCATGTCTTGTGATTTCATAGTATGAATATTTTTTGTCAACTCATTTTCAATTCCTTCGTTTCCATGGCCTGAATCTTGCATGATGACTGAACTCTTCCTCTTTGTATTCTTGGCTGCCATTTAATAGTATAGGTACTATTGAATGGAAATGTCCTACTTCTGAATTTTGCATTGATGAACATTGTGCTGAGGCAGCATCCTATGCCATTGCTTGAGGAAAAAATAAGCACTCCAGTCCTCTTTTAAAACCTAAATGCCAAATCTTCATGCCCCTTCAATCACTTGCAATTCCTCTGTGGTAGCTTTTATATAGACCCATTGGTTGATATTGATCTTCATTTTTGGCAGCCTGATGTGAGAGTCCTTCAAATGACGTGATGGTCTCTTCCATTTCTCCCCCCCCCCCCCCCATGATTTGGGTAATTTATTTTCATGTTGCCCACATGATAATTGTGCCACATTTCTCTGCCCGTGTTCTGATCAATTTAAAAAAAAATGAAATTGGCAGTGTTTGGAGAGATTTGCTCTGTTTATTTGCTTGGGTCAGTGTGGCTCACATCTCCTTTGCACTATGAGAAATTTTGCATTGACTTAGTTTCATTTTCTCTGATATTTGATCACTTGGTCATAATCTATTGTTGCTAGTCATAGTTATTTTTTTTTTTACTTTCTGTTTGGAAGGAGAGCATACAGTAGGAGACTTATTTCTTGTATTGAAAAATAATATAAAAATCTGTTTTAATACCAGTTCTTGTTGGTTTATTGCTTGGGAATGGGTGACTTCATTGTACAGGTTGCATAGATACATTATCAATGTGTGTCTTTGTTTGTGTACACTCGTGCCATTGTAGTCATGCATCTAAATGGAAGGGAATCTGTGAATAAGATTTGAGAAGGACAACCAAAACCTATGCTGCAACCCTCAAAAGCTCCCAATTAATGTTTTCTTGGCAATTTTAAAGATTTTTCTGCAGTCTATTTAAATAATTATAAATCAAGCAGTGCCTGCTGGGAACCTGGAACAATATGATCAAAACTTGGCAAGACTTGTTGCAACTAGCTGATATTTTAAACTAGATAGAGTTAAATTCATGTTAATGATGGATTGACAGGTTCAAGTTTGATCACGTTTGTTGCCCATGTTCAAAATGACAGAGTTGTCCTTGATCATGGCTTCTTCAGCCCTTGGTGAACTTTGGTAGTGTGAAGTAGTTCAAGGAGTGCTTCTTTCCCTAAGGCACTTCTGAATGGAAGCTGGTTACAACCTGTCATTCTGGATTATAAAATTAATGAAATCACTCAGAGGTGATTGCAGCAAATTGAGCTTAGTGTGATGGTTCTATTATTGCACTTGCTTCTCCTGGTATCTCCTGGTATGGTGGCATGGTCAACATGGTATCTATTCTCTGAATTCTTAACAGGTCAGCTAAGCAGTTTTCTGGATTTGAGTCTGGAAGAGCACCATGATAGATAGAACTTCAGGTGTAGCCTTCGCACATCTTCCCAGTGTGTTTGATTAGAAGTCTTACTCATGATTAAGAAACCTCTTTATCTTCTGAAGGTGCCTATAGTATCCTATATACATCATGGAAAATGGGCAAGATTTGATTGGCTTGTAGACCTGGGTACTTAGGGGTAAAAAAAAAAATTATTGTAATTATCTTTTACAGCAGGGGTGCACAACTCATAATACTGTGAGGGCCATTTCCAACGTTTACTCACCTACTGCGGGCCGCAATCTGGCTGACCGTAACTGTAGCCAACAGGGTGAGAGTCAACGGCGCACCTGCAAAACCACCCATCACAGCGGGCCGCATGTGGCCCTGGGCCATATGTTGTGCACCCTTGTTTTATAGCATCATGGAATAGTAAGAGATCACTCATTCAACTTTTGGATCATGACCCACTGGTCATGATCCAAGTATACCAAACCTTGAGCATAGAGAGTTTTTGAAAAATTAATAGTATTTTTTAATTGGGTCCATGCAATCCAAGTCCCAAGAATACCCTCCAGCCTGGGTAACCAGAAGCTCCTGGAGTGGCAAGGTAATGATTGGTTGCAGCAGTTGGACCGCAATCAATGCTCTTGTGTTCATCCTGCTGATTGTGAAGGGAGAACTTCAATGACATTCATGTCATTTGCGAAGATATCCTATTCCCTGGTATTGAAGGTGATCTCTGGCATTTCCAGTGATTTCTCACCTGATGAGAACACTTGAATGGCAAGAGGTATTCCTTATAGTGACAGAGCATTGCTGCGAAGATATTAGTTAATGGACACAAGTATGTGCACTAATGGTCACATTTGAAGGACAGAAGAGAGAGTCGGATGAGAAGGCTATCTGTGATGTTGCAGCTTTTTTTGAGTAGTTGGAGCACCTAAATCTTTCCTCTAAATTGCGGATCTTGGCTTCTTCACACAGGCGCATGCGATGGTGAAGACATTGGTGTCATCGATGGTGGGCAATCAGTGTGTGAATGGGTAGCTAACTGTTTCAACGACTTCTCTGGAGTCTTCTGCATAGAGCTTAGAAGATGTAGGGCTGTAACTGAGGAGAGCACTTTGCATGGAGCCCATGAGCATGGCATCACTGTGAATGAATTGGAGACATTGGTGATACTCACCCCAGAACATCCTGCAGCAGTATGTGATATAAATGCAGGGAGGAAGTATGTCTCCCCTGTAGCCTTTGAAATCTCCAGGGCATCATATGAGCCTCGTATGCTTCTGGACTTCAGTGTGGGGTGGGCACCTGGATTGGGAAAGGCTTGATGAGGTGGGGAAGACAATGGAGTAGGTGGTGGATGTGTGTTGCTGGGGAGCATCCAGTGTGACTTGGGATGATCAAGGAGAAAGATGCTCTGGGCACCTTTCAGTGGTCCTGGAACATCTGCATGTAGGATGCAGATGGCAGGAGCTGGATTCAGGGTGCTCAAGTATGAATACTTGGAGTTCATTGGAGGGCAGAAGTACATGGCATGCCTTAAGCATGATCTCCCCTTGATCCACGAGGTTCGTGGAACTTTGAATGCATGCTGCTGGCCATGTGTGGCTAAGGATGGGACTGGGAGTGATGATACCATCTTGTGTCGAAAGTGCATTGTCTGGAGGTGCCCTCATCAGTCATCTTTGGTGCAGTGTGTAGCAGGACTCTGCTATTCGCATGGGAAGGAAGTTTCAATGAGTGGCATGGGTCATGTAAGGTATGTGTCATGTGTGAGGTCAGCTTTCTCCTTGAACTCGGACAGAGAAGGTACAAAGGTACAACCAAGGGAGAGAGATGCACATCATTCCCTGAGAATGACACAAGTGACACAGGCAGTCAAGCAGGTGATCCATCAATGCGCTTTTACAGTAGCAAGATCTCTGGGTGATGATAGATTATCCTGTTTCTTATGCATATGCAATGATTTCCTCTCTATGCCTTAGAATGGTTGCTGCAGGGGTGAAATGGAAGTATGATTTGCTAAAACAAAAGAAAATGATGAGGAGGATATTAAGACAGAAGAATTTATGATAGTGTGATGGTAACTTTTATATGATATGCAATGCTTGTACTTGTACTTGATTGTACTTATGAGTTGTAGCAAATTGGTAGTTTCATTCATTTTCCTATCTTGCTTCCATTGGAGAAAATAAGTGGTGAATGCTTCTTTCAGTGATGAAATGGAGGCAAGTCTCCTTGCCATCATAACCAAGATATTGGTGAAAACAGTCAATTTGCTGCAGCTGGACGACCAGCTACACATTGGGGCTCGTGGCTGTCTTTGAGCCTGAATTCCTGGGAAAGGAAGTGAGTGGGGTGCCTCTAGTGACCACTGGAGTTGGGGTCATCAAGCCTGGTGCACCATAACTTGTGTCTGAAGGCTTTCATTGTGAAAAGAATTTCATGGCTTCCTTGTCATTTCATTTGTGTTCTTTGATTCATTTGGCATTCAGGAATCAGTGTCATGTGTTCCAGCATGCTTTGCAACTATCAGGGGGGCAAGGAATGCTCTTGTATTAAGACCCCTTGATGCCTGGGCTATTGGGACCTATTTGAAGGTGGCCGCTCTCCCTTACGTGAGTGACCGATTCACCTCACTGCAATTCTTGAGGATTTTTATCGAGGAAGGCCTTTAGGATGTAAGTCTCAAGAAATGAGGAGCACATCATCTCCTAACATTTGACAGGATGAAGGCCATGTGGATAAAGATGAATCTTTGGGAATTATGCATGAAGATGTTAAGTAAAAGTCAACGGTTCTTTTCTAGCATCATATGGAGCTGTATGATGGTGTAATTTATGGTCTTCTATGCTTGTGTTGATGCCATGATTCTTTTCACAGGGAGGCACAGAGAGGATCAACGTGTTCGAGCTGCGTTGAGTGGTGCGTGCCATTGTGGCATTCCACAACAGCAAAGATCACGGTTGGTGGGGGTTGGGTTGGGTGAAGCCCAGGAAGAAGGATTTCGACGAGGTGGCAGGTGTTAACCTTGACCACATTTCATCAGTTGTTCCCAAGGAGAATGGTGTGGGTGGCAAGGCACCACCCAAGTATTGTCTTCATCCAGCTGGTGAAGTGGGATTTGGAATGCCTCAGATTCTGGGAGGCCCATGGGACATCATGGTGCATCACCATCTGGAGCCACATCTTCAACACAAGATCCTGGGAGCTAGATGGCTTTTTTTCCCCATGGTTTACTAGATTGGATAAAGAGTTTCTTTCCTGGAGAATTTTTGCGTCTGCATCGTGATAAATTGCACATCCAGCTAAGGAACCCTATAAAAAAAAAGGGGGCAAGATGTGTCATGTGGTTTTTTCAAGAACGTATGAGTGGAGTAGTGAATGTTAAGAAGGTGGCAGTGCAAAATTGCTACCATTGTTCACAGAAAGAGATGTAAATAGTATTTTTTTACTTCCTTGTTGACTGTGGTGGTGTGTATGAATTTAGCCTCAGTGAAATGAAATTATTTAAATGGGGTGAAACATTTGTATTATGTGATACATGTTTATCGTGTTAATATATTGATCGTTGTGAAACGTATTGGGCATGAGTTGCCATTGAGGTGTGGCATTTGGCCAACTGGCTATGTGGGATTTGGGGGATGCGCCATGTTTGGGGCCAATGAAATGTGACCAACTTCATTTTATTATGGTGTTGGTGAGAGTTTGATGTCTTGATGTGGCTCTGGAAGTGGGAAACAACAATTTAAATTTTGTATTACTCGTCTTCAAATTTCCAGAATGTTGAGTGGTGAATTTTTTTAAGGTGTCTTTTCATGGATGAAAAAATTGTAAGGTCACAATAAAAATGCTTCAGAGTTATATATGACTGATTCTGTGATTGTGTCAATGACAAGGTGATGATATCGTTTTTACTTCGGTGCTCTGATATTCCTCAAGGTTCACTTCACTCGAACTTTGTTGAAGGAATATTGGTTCCTGCTCATCCTGATTAGCTGTGTTATGTCATGTTTGCAAAGCTCTATGGTGGTTGGGTAACTGGCTGGGATCACAAATGTGGATAGTTTAGCTATTTATGGGATGACAGATGTCACTCTCACAGCCAGCAGCACCACCACCCACTGCAGGGGGGGGGGGGTGAATTCATTCGATAAGCACTGTAATGGACTTGCTGCCTTGTGTCCTCAACAACTCTAAAGAGCTTCTTCCAATGAGCTGGAAGTGAAAATTACACGTTAATTTCTTATTATCACAATTCTTTATTTACATTACAGGCCAATAAGAATTCAATAGGACATTATAAATTATGAGAAAAGGAAGGATAACTTACACTCACAACTGCAGCATGACTGACTTTTGAGATGTGCCCTGGTGAGATTTAGAATCTGAGGGAGAATGAAGCTTGGTATTTGATTTTCCATCAGATAGGATTTCTTTCTTGGGTTCCAGATGGACCAGGCACATCAAAGGAAACAGTATCCATTTCTGTTGTTGTTTGAGACTGAGAATTTCCCAAGCCAATGTCTTGGTATTATGGGAGGTTGGTGAGTTGGAATTGTTTTTGCTCCTCTTCATATTCAAACTCAGAACTGTCCCAAAAGCTTCATTTCTGGCTGACGTAAATGTCTCCTGAGCTAAATAACTTACAGGAATTTTGAACGTTGGGTCATTAGTGTCCAAAGATTTTCTATTTCTTCTCTTCCATGCCAAAGGTTGGATAAGGCCTACTAAGGTCTGGCCCTGTATTGCAGTTTAACTTCTGGCAGCCATTGGAAGCTGTCTGTATCGGTATCAGTGCATCCCTACTTATCCTGGCTTTGATGGACTTCAAATAGAATAATTAGGTTATCATGACTGCACAAAAAGGAACAGCTTTAGCATGCAACCTGCGTGGAAGTTGTAACCGGGTGTGGTTATGGCACTTAGGTCAAATAAGGAGTTCCAGCATGAAAAGGTGTCTGTACATCACAGAAAATTGGTTTTAACGGATGGGCACTGTGAAAAAGTCACTGCTGCCATAGCCCATGTTTAGCCATCCCGGCATTAAGGAATTCCCTTTTGTTTTTTGTGATCTTCATAGGATTTTGCTTCCTCAGGTATATATAAGAAATAAGTACTTGAATATGAGCAGTGATGAGAAAACCTGTGACAAATTTCATGCATGATCAACAAAATGTGTTCCCTATTATGTCACTGCACTTCTGACTGAAGAGGGTCATTCATGACCAGGCGTTATTGCTACTCAAGGACTGGAAAGACACACATTTTGGGGTTACTAACCTTCACTCAGCATAACCCCAGGTGGACAGCAGTGGTTCAAGGAGCCAATTTGTACTGTGCAAGTGTCTTAGTTTCCTCTTTTTTAGATGAATAAATGAATGATTCTCTTCCAGCAATTTTTTGCCTACTTATTTCCATATCTGCTTTCTCTTTAGTGGGAAGAACACATCAAAGCAGCATCTGAGGTGTTGCAAAAGTGTTGTTAAACACATTCCAGGTAGTATTTTTTAAATGTTCAATATCTGACCTTTTTTTTTTTTTACAGTGTATACAGTATTCATATTTCATCAGATGTCACCCCTAATGACATCGACCATGAACCTGTACCAAAACAGGTTGTCCCTTGCAGCACAATGACTGCTAACTGGTCCTATAAACAATCGCATCTCCAGGGCTTCCACAGTTTTGCAGAAACTCTGGTGGACATTGATTCCCAAATGGGATATCTGAGGGTCTCCAGGATTAGCAACTACTTCTCCAGATCAAGAGATCTCCAGTCCAGTGGTTTGGGCAAGTTTGTCACATGCCCCTGAGAGACATCCAAAAAGAGTTTTTCAGTCCATCATGACTGGTG